TTTTTTTTTTTTTTTTAATTAGAGATGAGGTCTTGCTACTTTTCCCAGGCTTGTCATGAACTACTGGCCTCAAGCGATCTTCCCACCTCAGCCTCCCAAAATGCTGGGATTGCAGACATGAGCCACAGAACTCGGCCCCTATGTTTGATTTTATAAGAAACTATGGAACTCTTTTTTTTTTTTCCAAATTAGTTGTGCCACTTTATACTCCCACCAGTAATGTTGGGAGTTCTAATTGTTTTACATCCTCACAATGCCCAGTGTTGTCAGTCTTTAATTTTAGCCATTCTACTGGGTGTGTAATAGTATCTCATTGTATATTTAATTTGTATCTCTGAAAACTAATGGTGTTGAGCAATTTTTTGTGTGAGCTTATTGGTCGTCATCTGTATATCTTTATAAAACGGTTGTTCAAACCTTTTGCCCGTTATTTTATTGATTTTTCTTTGTCTTCCTTTTTGTTTTTAAATGTTGGTCTTTTAAAAATTAAGTTGCAGGCCGGGCGCGGTGGCTCAAGCCTGTAATCCCAGCACTTTGGGAGGCCGAGGCGGGTGGATCACGAGGTCAAGAGATCGAGACCATCCTGGTCAACATGGTGAAACCCCGTCTCTACTAAAAATACAAAAAATTAGCTGGGCATGGTGGTGCGTGCCTGTAATCCCAGCTACTCAGGAGGCTGAGGCAGGAGAATTGCCTGAACCCAGGAGGCGGAGGTTGCGGTGAGCCGAGATCGCGCCATTGCACTCCAGCCTGGGTAACAAGAGCGAAACTCCGTCTCAAAAAAAAAAAACAAAAAAAAAAAATTAAATTGCAGGCGTAGTTAAATGCCTTTGGGTCAGTCATTGATTTTCTGTTTCCTTATCTGTAGGCAGCAAGTATGAATTCCTCCATGACACCTGGGCAGTAAGAAATGCTAAGCTTGGTCACTGCTCACAGTACCCAGGACTCATAAGAACCCATGCATGCCTACTCCCATCCAAGGCATGCAGGATCCATGCCAGAAAGAATGAAGGAAATGCCAGGGGCTATGGGGGCTGGGAGGAGGACACTAACACAGAGATTTGAAGGAGGTAGCATTTAATGGCCCCTGGCAAAAAGGAGAAAGAGGACGAGGGAGCTGAAAAATGTCTTCATGGGAGACAGAAGGGAGGGAAGACAGGGAAGGAGGGGTGGCCCAACTGGCCCTGGAGCAGGGGACAATGGAAATGTAGCAGATATATAAGCTAAACTGAAATCTCAGCACAGAGCTGGCCTATGAATTTCTCCCAGAGGGACTTTCTGCCTGCAGGGTAAAAGGGAAACAACTTCCAGTTCTGTTTGCAGAGAGCCCTGAGGACCTGACACTGACCACAGCCAGCTGAGGGGCCTCCCCCTCCGCTGCCCTATTCTGCCCTGCCCTGCCCAGCAGGGTCTTAGCTGTGGTAGCTGGCTCCATCCCAAGGCCAACAGCCAATTTTGATTACATTAAGGAGGCAGTGTATTGGGGGATCAATAGGTTAGGTTCTAAGATCAGGATAAAATTGATCCTGATCCTCCCAGAAGTGCAAATCACAACCACAAACGAATGTATTATAATAGAGAATTAAGCTTATAAAGATATATCAATCAGGGGACAGAAACTATACCAATTATTTAACAGAGAGAATGTAATATGGAGAATTGTTAACTAGGTTTACGGTTATTAACTAGATAACTGAAAAGTCAAAAAAAACAAACCTACCCTATCACATAAATTAGCAACTGCAAGAAGCAGCTACCCACTCTTGGGCTGAGACAACAGAGGGAGGCGTTTAATCACTAAAGCTTAGAGGTTGGAGGAAGGGCCCACTGCATAACTGAAACTCAGACTTCTGAGGAAGGGCTCCAGCATCTGCACTGGCATCTCCGATTCGGTTACTTTAAAGCTAATTCTGCAGGTACTGGGAGCACTGCAGAGTAGATGTAATAACTGCTAAGGGAGGCAGGGCTCAGGGTTCATACCTGTAATCCAACACTTTGAGAGGCCAACGTGGGAAAATGGCTTGAGCCTAGGACTTTGAGACCAGCTTGGGCAGCATATTGAGGCCCTATCTCTATAAAAAAATTAAAAATGAGTCCAGTGTGGTAGTGTGCACCTGTAGTCCCAGCTGCTTGGGAGGCTGAGGCAGGAGGATCGCTTGAGCTCAGGAGTTCAAGGTTGCAGTGAGCTGTCATTGTACCACTGCACTCCAGGCTGGAGCAACAGAGTGAGACAGCTCCAGAGTAAGATCCCTATCCCTACTACTACTACTGATAATAGTAATAAGAGTGCCCAGCTTGTGAAACCTGGTCCAAAGGGAAAGTGATGGGTACTCAACTCTTTCCCTCAGTGGGTGTGAATAAGGAAGCTTCCAGCCTCATCCCTTGGCCACTCAAGTACCTGAACATGGGAGGGACGGAAAGAACCAGGGTCCATGATGGCACTGCTGAGTCACAGGCTCACTCTCCTCTGCGTATCCAGTTGTGTGAGCCTTTATAATCTGTTGATTATATCATTGTTTAACTAAGGTCTCTGTTACTTTGCAGCCATGAGCATCTTGATAGATCAGAAAAGCAAAAAAGAGAATAAGAAAAGAAACAAGGAAAAGGGATGTGTGGTACATGAAATAATCCTGCTGGTTCCTTCCAAAAATTTCCTGTCCTAATCCCCAGAATCTGTGAGTATATCACCTTACAAAACAAAAGGGATGTTGAGATGTGATTAAGTAGGTTGATGAAGAGATTACCCTGGATTATCTGGGTGGGCTCAATGTAATCACAAGGATTCCTATAAGGGAAAGAGGGTGGCTGGAGAGTTACAGAGGAAATGTGACAACAAAAACAGGGGATGAAATGATGTGTTTTAGTGGAGAAGGAAGGTACCCTGTGAGCCAAGGAAAGCAGGTGGCTTTTAGAAGGTGGAAAACACAAGAGAACAGATTTTCTTCTAGAGTTCTCAGAAATAATGCAGCTCTGACAATACCTTGATTTAGCTCCTAAGACCCATTCAGACTTCTGACCTTCAGAACTATAAGACAATACATTTGTGTTGTTTTAAGCCACTAAGTTTCTGATTTTTTAAACTTATTTTATTTTATTGTAGAGACAGGGTCTGGCTATATTGCCCAGGCTGGTCTCAAACCCCAGGCCTCAAGCCATCCTTCCTCCTTGGCCTCCCGAAGTGCTGGGATTATAAGTGCGAGCCACTGTGCCGGGCCTGTGGTGATTTATTATAGCAGCTATAGGAAACTAACACAGCATGGTAATTAGAAAACCCAAAAGCAGATGTCAGGAATAAGTACAAATGAAGCAATAATTAAATGGATATGAAAGGGTTGAATCCAGTGACTACTAAACACATAATGTAGAGATTGGATTTTTAACACTCCAGCTAGGTTCCCGTCATGAAAGGTGTATCTAAAGCAAAATGACGCAGGAAAAACATACCTGTTGTCCCAGTTATCTACTGCAGTGTAACAAATCACCCTCAAAACTTAATGATTTAGGGCCAGGTGCAGTGGCTCATGCCTGTAATCCCAGCACTTTGGGAGGCTTGAGGTGGGTGGATCACTTGAGGTCAGGAGTTCGAGGACAGGCTGGCCAACATGGTGAAATCCCGTCTCTACTAAAAATACAAAATTAGCCGGGTGTGGTGTCACACGCCTGTAATCCCAGTTACTCGGGAGGCTGAAGCAGTAGAATTACTTGAACCTGGGAGGCAGAGGTTGCAGTGAGCCAAGATCATGCCACTGCACTTCAGCCTGGGTGACAGAGCAAGATTCTGTCTCAAAAAAACAAACAAATAAAAAACAAACCTTAATGACTTAGGCAGGTGGCTTTAGTGGCAGCATGAAGCACACCCCAACTGCCAAGGAACGAGAGTGCAAACCTGAGAAACTAAGGCTTTTTGAAGAGTTTAAAGACACCTGGCTTCCTTATCTGACCCACAGAGATAATGAATTATATCAGCAGTGGCAGCTGAAATATCCTAAATTAATTCTCCAAGAAGCCGGCAGTGTTTCTGAGGAGCTCCATAAAGTGGCTCAAGAAGCTTTTCTCACACTGCAGAAGCATGACTGCTTATTTCAGGACCTGGTTAGGATCCAAGGCAAAGATATGCTCACTCTGGTATCTCCCATCCTCATTGGTAATCCAGGCTGTGCCTGCAAGTACCTGAACACTAGGTTCTTTATGCTACTCTGGCAGTGAAAGGGTCTAATATAAAATACACCCAGGATCAGGTGCAGTGGCTCACATCTGTAATCCCAGCACTTTGGGAAGCTGAGGTAGGCAAATCACTTGAGGCCAGGAGTTCCAGACCAGCCTGGCCAACAGGGTGAAACCCCGTCTCCACTAAAAAAAAAAAAATACAAAAATTAGCATGGTGGCATGTGCCTGCAGTCCCGGCTACTCGGGAGGCTGAGGCAGGAGGATCGCTTGAACCCAGGAGGCAGAGGCTGCAGTGAGCCAAGATAGCACCACTGCACTCCAGCCTGGGTGACAGAGTGAGACTCTGTCTCAAAAAATAAAATAAAATAAAATAAAATAAAATAAAGCAAGGCTGAAATAGCTGCTGCTTGTCAGATCTTCCTCAAGCTTAATGACTACCTGCAGATAGAAATAATCCAGGCTTTGGAAGAACTCGCTGCCAAAGAGAAGGCTAATGAGGATGCTGTGCCAGTGTGTCTGGCTGCAGATTTCCCCGGTGCTGACATAGGGTCATCCTATGATGGACAAGATGAAGTGGACATAGAGAGCAGAGCAGCATACAACGTAACTTCGCTGAATTTCATGGATCCTCCAAAAATAGCACACCTGAAAGAGAAAGCTTATTTTGGCATGGGGAAAATGGCAGTGAGCCAGCATCATGCTGAGAATCTGGTGGACAGGCCCCGAAGAGGCAAGTGAGGACGACTCTCATCTGGAAGGCAGAGATCCTGATATTTGGCATGTCGGTGTTAAGATCTCATGGGCGTAGAGACACCTGGTTTGGCAATACCCCTTCACCAAGGAGGCTGCTATTTCATGCTTGTTAATCTTTGGAGAATCAAAATTATATTGCTACTCTAGCAGCTAAATTTAAATTATTGGGTATATATTTTGAATATGTTTATGAACTAAACTTTTGGAGTATTTTATATTAACAGTGAAACTTCTTTATGAGAACATGTAACTAGGTTTTTCTTTTCTGAGATACTGCTAAATTTTTAAAAGTTGCTTTTCTTTTTATTCTAAGTAGTTGTGGAGTTCCTCAAATACGCTAACCAATTCTCAGAATTCTTCATGAAAGCTATTAAATCACTCAAGTCAACTTATTAGTATCACTTCAAAAAATACTTCCCTGTCTATATACGTTTTTAGTAGTGGGACAGTTTTGTCTAGTTTTGAATTTAGTTTCTTCTCAGGAACAGCTGACCTGACTGACAGCAGAGACTTTCTCTCAACTTGTCATTTAGTTTTTTGGGAAGCCATATCTCAGCTGCGGTTAGGCTAACTTAAGCTGTCGAATTTGTGGGGCTTTGTTTATTTCCTCTTTGCTGTTAAGTTTTTATTTTGTTTTTGGGCTTTCTACTTGTTTTCGCATATGCAGTGTGCAAACAGTATCCTTTTTTACTCAAAGCTTCTTGGGGTTTATTCTTTACTTGGCTCTAGTCCCTGATTCTTTGGGGTTTACTTCTCTCCTATCTACCTGGAGAAACCTGCTTATATGTTAGTTTTGGAGCCTGGAAGAACCAGAGCTGACGCCCAGTGTTTATAATGAATGAATTCCCAATTCGGTATTTGTAAAGAGTCCACTGTATCCGGGTACTGTGTAAGGTTCCAGGGGAGATATTGGAGACGGATAAATCTTGGTCTTTGCCTTTGGGAAGGTCAGAGTACGGAATAGCTCTTTAGGCCATTCTCTCATTCAGCATTTTCTAAATTTTAGCTCACTGCACATCAGCTTCAAGGTTTTGGTCATATCCATGCAATATTCATATAATTATTTACATACTATTTCTGCCTAAACTAACTTTTTTAATCTTAAAAAAAATTGAATGGCTTAAAGTAACAAGACAGCTGGGCAAGTCTCTGCCTGTCTCCCCTGGGGTCACTCGTGCAGCTGTAGTCATCTCAGATGGTCTTACAGCTGGTGCAGGCTGTTGGCCAGCCTTACCCTCTACATGGTCTCTCACCCTCCAGGACACTAACCCAGGCTTCTGTACGTGGTGGCAACAGCATTCCAGGTGATGAGATCAGCAGCTGGCAGACCTGGTGAGGACTACACTCAGATGTCCCATAGCATCAGTTCTGCTGCCTTCTGTATTCACAAATCACAGTGCCAACCATAATTTAACCAACGAGGAAATGGACTTCCTTTTTTTTTTTTTTTTCCTGAGATGGAGTCTTGCTCTGGCTGAAGCGCAGTGGTGCAATCTCAGCTCAGTGCAGCCTCCACCTTCCAGGTTCAAGTGGTTCTCCTGCCTCAGCCTTCTGAGTAGCTAGGATTACAGGTGCGCACCACCACAACTGGCTAATTTTTGTATTTTTAGTAGAGATGGTTTCACCATGTTGGTTGAGCTGGTCTCAAACTCCCGACCTTGTGATCCGCCCACCTCGGCCTCCCAAAGTTCTGGGATTACAGGCATGAGCCATTGCACCCGGCCAACTTCCCCTTTTAATGGAAAAGTGGCAAAGTCACATGGCAATGGGGTATGGATTCAGGAAGTGAAGGGGTTATTGTGTCATCTTTTATATCAGCTCACCATATCTGGAAAATACTAACACAAAGTGGGTGTAGCAATATTAATATCAAAGTTGAAGTCAAGTTGAAAAGAAACTAAGAGGAAATATTTCTTAGAGATAAAAGAAACATTACAACAAGAAGATAAATTAGTTGTGAGCATGTTTTCATCTAACGACATACATTCAGAATACGTAAAGCAAAAGTTGTTAAACAATAAGGAGAGGCTGGGCACAGTGGCTCACCACTGTAATCCCAGCACTTTATGATTACAGGGAGGCTATTGCTTGAGCCCAGGAGTTCGAGACCAGCCTGGGCAACATGGTGAAACCCCATCTCTACAAAAAAAAATAATAATGATACAAAAAGTAGCCTGGCATGGTGGTGCGAGCCTGTAGTCCCAGCTACAGGGAGGACTGAAGAAGGAGGATCATGTGAGCCCAGAGAGGTTGAGGCTGAGATCGCACCACTGCACTCCAGCCTGGGCACAGAGTGAGACCCAGTCTCAAAAAACAAAAAAAGGAGAAATTGACCAAAAAAATCAGTGTTAGACTTTAACATATCTCTCTTGGAAAACAAAATATTAAGCACTTCAAAAAACAAGGACCAAGACTATTTGAGTAACACAATAGCTTGACCTAATAGAAAGATGCAGAACTACATTCTTTTTTTTCTTAATTTTCATGAGCTTATCAAAATATTACTTACATTTAAGTGATCAGTTTTCATGAGCTGAAATAGGCATTATGTTTTTCTAGGTAAAATGCTCTGCATAAGTCATTTAGTTTGATTTTAAGAACTGCATTCTAAGCAGAAAATACATATTCACAAAATTTGACCATAAGCTAAGCTGCAAAGGAAATTGTAACACATCTCCCACCCAAAAGTAATACAACACAGACTGTCTTCTCTCACCACGATGCAATACCATTAGAAGTGGAAAACAAAATGATAGCCAAACAAAAACCAAACTAATGTATGTCTAGAAACCTTTAAACAGACTTGTAAATAACTCAAGTTAAAGAGATAGCAGGACCAGAACCTAGATTTCCAAATAACTAGAGCAGTTCATGATCTAGCCCCTTTGTTCATATAAAGCTATTTGTTTTTCTGTTTTTTGTTTTTTTTAAAGACGGAGTTTCACCGTGTTGGTCAGGCTGGTCTTGAACTCCCGACCTCAGGTGATCCGCCCGCCTTGGCCTCCAAAGTGCTTGGATTACAGGTATGAGCCACCATGCCCGGCCAGCTATTTGTTTTAAAATATTTGCTGAATTATATGAGAGAGACAGAGAGGCAGAGACAGAACACGGTGGGCCAGAAAAGTGATTCACTGGAGCAACTAGTTCAATGTATGGAAGAATTGAAGAGTCAGATAGCTATTACCAGCCAGGTTCAGCAAAGCATAGAAGGATCTGCTGGTCTCAGTGACCTGGGCAGGCAAACAGCACCCAGGGGAGGCCAGGGCAAGACACCAGCAAGCAGACAGATCCTCTGAGCGTGGATCCTAGGGTAGATGCTATTTGCTTCTGATTCTTTAATGCAGATGAGCTCCTGTGTGCAGAGGAGAGAGGTGGCTTCTGGGAGCGGGTAAATTGCAGAAACTATAAGGGGCCCAACAATCAATATCCAGAAGGATTCCAGACAGTTTCAACTCAACAGTGCCAGAATACTCACAACATGAGAACTGTCCGTTTTCTGAACATTGGAGTCCAGTGGTGCCTGAGCCAGGAGGCGTGCCAATTGAGAAGACCAGACATGGTATTTTCTCCACACAGCACAAACCAGAGCACATATTTGATGGTGATGACATAACAGTGCTTTAGCTTGTAACGAGGGTTACTCTGGATAATCCAGACCTCCAAAATTCTACTTGTGGCCTTAATAATTCACATTATTTGATTGTATCAGTTAAAATACAGAGTACCTATCATTCTTTCCTTTGCACTATCGTAGCAGAACATCTGTTGGGCTGAAATCCATTTTTTCTCCTTTTTGTGTGAATTCATTGATGCCTTCATGCACCCACTCACCCATCCCGCCACTTAACTAGCACTCAAAGCAAACCTAACACATCTCAGATCCTTAGTGTTTCATGTGTCATTGTTTATGTCTCCTCTGATTACTTGTAGATGAGAAAAATAAAGAAGGTGGTGTGAGTTACTTGGGTGCTAAACGATAATCTAGAAAGAAGTGCTCAGCTAAAACTGTGCTAGACAAATAACTGCAAAGAAGGAGAGAGAAAAATGAAAACGAAAATAGTGGCAGAGAGGAAATGGAGGGGTCTCAGTGGGGAATCTGGCTTCTTATCTGTCTGAGTTTTGATTTTCAGTTGTACCAGGGGAGTCTTTATGTCTGGGATGCTGAGAAAACCAGCCCACGCCAGGCGGGCTGTGAGGACATGATTTGGAGGCGTTTAGTTTCTTAAACTCTAAAGTCTGGATTCTGGTGTCAGAGGCCTGAGCCATTTTGCTCCTCCCCCACCCCCCAGCTTCCTCCAATCTTCCTAAGAATTCTGCGTACTGCAGAAAGGCAGGTGTCGGATTCCCTTCTCCATCCTCCACACCCGCTCAGGTTTCTCCTTCCTCACACCTGCACGCCCAGGCCCAGCGCCCCAGCCCCTCACACCCAGGATAACTGTTAGAGCCTCTCACACGGGGCTGTCATTAGCACCCCGAGATTCCCGAGGGCTGGGACACTGAGGCCAGTGTCTGCGTCTGCCAAATTTCTCCCATAGCTGCGTACCAGCTGAGTGTGTTCCTAAGATGCCTAAGCAGCTCCGCACGCGGCTCCGGGTCCACTGCGACACTGCGCAGAGGACAGCGGCCGCTCTGCCGGGCCTCGGGTGGAGAGGGCCCACGGTCCTGCACTGAGCTCCGGCCCCGCAGCTCCGCGCCCGCACCACTCCCCTCGCCGAGCCCGCCGCGGAGTCTGCCGGCCGCACGCTGCAGGTCTGGGGCTCACCCTGAATCCCGACCTGCGGGGACACCCCGCGCACGTTCCCGCTGGGTGCGCACCACAGCCCTCAGTGGCCGGACAGACATTTCCATTTTCCAGATGGGAAAGCCAAGCCTTGACCCCAGCTCCAGCACCGTGTTCTCAGGCGCTGGTACTTCCAACCCGCGCTCTCCCCCTGTAGTATTTCTGGGGGCCCTCCCTGGGGTTCCCCCCGGGGAGTAGAGGGAAGGAACGTCTGGGGACGAGCGCCCAGAAGGGTGTGGATTCTGTGTCCTCCGCCGGGAGCAGGCCTCACCGCCGGCGCCAGTGTGCGGGGCGCCCTGGGGCGAGGGCGGAGACCAAGTCCCTGCCCCGCGGAGAACCCGGGGAGCCGGGCCGCTGTCCCCACGCGCTGCGGCCGCCGCGCTCTTCAGGGCCTGGGGTGGAGCGAAGGGCGGCGGGCTCAGACCAAAGTCCACCAGGGGCCGATGTCCGCAGGCCCCAAGCACCCACCGCGGGGTCGCGGGGGTGGGGTCGCTGGGGTTTGCCCCGCCTTGTGAGCCTGGGGTTCTGGTTTAAAAGGCTGCGGACAGGCGGCTGGGCGGAGCCGCGGGCCTCCCTCGGCTGAGTACAGCGCTGCGAGGAGGCGCCCCGACAGTCATGGAGCGCCTCGTGAGAGTGAGGGCCTGGGTGGAGGAGAACCGGGCTTCCTTCCAGCCCCCGGTCTGCAACAAGCTCATGTGAGTCCTGCACCGCCATGGCCTCCCCCTGCCCTCGCCTCCTCCCTCTCCTCCATCTGCACCCTCACCTTCCAGCTCCGAGTTCCTGGACCCAAAAGCCTGCAGAAGGGCAGCTTCAATCTCTGGGTTCTTGGGGGAAGATGGAAACAGGCTGTTCCGGTTCCACCACGTCGGCCTGTTCCTCTTTCTGGTGACTGTGGCCTTGACTTCTGAAGAAGGCTGAGGTGGCTCTGAGGCTGTGGGAGATGAGATGGCAGCGTGTACCCCTTCGCCAGGGCTGAGAAAAGATTCTCCAACCCCGAGTGACACTGGGCATTGTGGGAAAACTCAAAAGCGTGGGGAGGGTGGTTTTCAAGGCCCCAGAAGTGCACTCGAATGTAGGCCTGGGGGCAGCCTAATCACACACCCCAACCCTACCCAGAAGCCACAGGCAAGGGGAAAGGCAGAGTCCGCTCCTTTGGGAAGTCCTTGATTTCTTGCACTTTCCAGGGCCCCTCTTTGCAGGCATGCAGGAACACACACACACACACACACACACCACCAGACCCTACCTAGGCTACCTCTGCCAGCAGCCTTTGCCTGCAGCACCCAACAGGGTTGGCTGTCCAGCTGCCGTCTTTCTCGGGCAGACATCTCAGGCCCTGCCCTGTGGCACAGTCACCTCCCTCCTTCCCCCCGTTCCATGGCTGGCCCTCACATGCCAGCTAGATCAAGGTTCACATTCCCCATTTTTGCTGTGTCCACAGGACATGGTCAGTGGGTGGCACCTCAAACCAGCTGCGATCACTAACACTTCGACGGGCCCAGGACTATGCCGAGTGCTTTTACATCATCTCCTCTCATTTTCACAGTAGTGCCGCGAGGTGGGATTTTCATAAGTCACTTTTCCAGTGTCACAGAGTGCCTGTCGGGTAGGCTCTAGACTCAACCCACGGAACAGTTCTACTCCAGAGTCCACGCTCACTCTTGTTCACCATGCAATACCACATGGCCAACTGTCAATCTCTCCCCAAAGACTTCTCCTGCCACTGTTGTCGTCCCCCACTCAAATACGCGCTGTCGCCTCCCACCACTTTATCCCTGTCTGCAGTCGCTGTCTCTCGGTCCCCCCACGGCTCCCCCTGAGGTCTCACGTCCGTCTGCTCCGGCCTCTCTCTAGCATTCAGTGGTTTGCTGGCATCATTAGTGGTCTTGCTCCTGCCGCACCACCCCCACCTCCACCTTCATCTTCACAAGGCGACCTCCTTGTGTGTGTGTCTGTGTCTGTGTCCAAATTTCCCCCTTTTAAAAGAACACCAGGCATATTGGATCAGGGGCTCACCCTACTCCAGGGTGACCTCATCCTAACTACATCTCAAGGACCCTATTTCCAAATAAGGTCACATTCTGCAGGACTGGGTGTTAGGACTTCAACATATACATTTGGAAGGAGACGTTGCTATTCAGCCCATGGCACCCCCCAGCAAAGTGAGAAGCTGCTGGAAGGTCCGGCCAGAGGAGGGGCAGGTCTGGTTTCTGCATTCTGATTGCTGGGTTGAAAGAGTTCTTCAGTGGACTTATTTAAGAATTGTCTGTATGTATCTAACTTACATCTCAGTGAAGTTGATTTTTAAAAACTAACAACAGCGTTCCAGGTTTCTCAACACCACTTAGGCCAAGACCAGACTCCATGGCTGGTCCACCTCCTGGTCCAGCCTTCTCAACATCGCTCCCTAACATCACCCCCAGTGCTTCTAGTCTCAGAGCCTCTGCACCCAGCTCTCCAGGGCACACCCTTCCCCCGTCAAGTTCCTCACAGCTTCTCTCCCCCTCTTGAAGCTCTGTGTAGCTTTAAGTTCTTTAATCACAGACTGTTCCATGACAGCTTCCTCCTGCCCTGCAACCTCACCCACTTTGCAAACATCAGCGCCACAAATGTGTTTCTGGCTTATTGGGCCCAGCCTACCAAAAGGGAGGGAAAAAGAAAGAGACTGGCTCTTCCGTCTTGTCCCCATGCCTCCCACCACCGGCTGGAAAACAGCCCACAGGAGAGGACACTCAGAAAGGACCTGCCAGTCTAGGTTTGGGGCTCAGACCTCCTCCATAGGGGGAGGATGACAGATGGATGATGATGGTGTAGGAAAGCCCCTGCATGGATGATGATGGTGTGGGATAGCCCCTGCATGGATGATGATGGTGTGGGATAGCCCCTGCATGGATGATGATGGTGTGGGATAGCCCCTCCCCTGCCATCCCACACCATCATCATCCATGCAAGCAGCCTCTAGCCTGCTGTGCCCTGTGTGTACAAATGATCCAGACCCAGCACCTCCCTTGCTCTGAGGAAAGCCCTTGCCCTTGCCCTCTGTGGCAGGGCCACCTCAGAAGACCCTGAAGTCCCCCCCAGACACGTTCTACTGCTTATTCACCCCAGAGTGTGCACCCTGAAAAAGGACCCTCCTGTGGGGGGTGGGGTGGGTTGTTCTCAGGAGGTGCTGAGGTATTTTTCCCATAAAAAGGTAACACCACACCAACAGCAGAAAGGCTGAGGAGGTTAAGCATGCTTTTGTTCCAAACAGCTGACGAGGTGCCCCACAGAGCCAGTGCGAGCCTGGCAGTTGGGGAGCCTGGGACTTGGCCCAGGTTCAGTCATTCCCTGGCTAGGTGACCCTCTCTTGTCTGGTTAAACAGACTGTAAAATAAGAGGGTTGTATTGAGTTTATTTGTGTATGTTATTTATTTATTTATTTATTTGAGACAGAGTCTCCGTTACCCAGGCTGCACTGCAGTAGCGCAATCTTAGCTCACTGCAACCTCCACTTCTCAGGTTCAAGCGATTCTTGCACCTCAGCCTCCCAAATAGCTGGGATTATAGGTGCCTACCACCAGAGGTGGCTAATATTTGTATTTTTAGTAGAGATAGGGTTTCACCATGTTGGCCAGGCAAGTCACAAATGCCTGACCTCAAGCAATCCACCCACCTCTGCCACCCAAAGTGCTGGATTAGAGGCATGAGCCACCAAGCCTGGCTAGGTTTATTTATTTTATCAAACACTTAAATAGTGCTTGCCATATGCTAGGCACCATTCTGACAGCTTCCAAATATCAATTCATGTATTCTGTTTAAGCTCTGTGAGGTAA